GTTTCTAGATATTTGTCCATTTCCTCAAGGGTTTCATATTTGTTTGAGTATAGTTTTTCATAATATTCTAATGTTAACTTTTTCATTTTAGCTGGGTCTGTTGTGATGTTGCCTGATTCATCTCTTATTTGGATTATTTGTGTCTTCTCCTTCTTTTCTTTATGACAGCCTTTTTAAGAAATGGTGTTGGCAAAATTGGAAAACTGTCTGCAGAAAAATTAAACAAGATCCACACCTCACTCCATAAACAAAAACCAACTCAAGGTGGATCATGGACCTAGGACTAAAACCAAGGACTGTAAACTTCATCCAAAAAAATCTTGGAAGAACTTTAGTAGTCCTAATCCACAACATAAAGAGTCTTCCAAGTATCCTGAAAACTTTACAACCAGGAGAAGATAAAATAGATGAATGGGACCTTCTAAGAATCAAATCCCTATGCGCATCCAAAAACTTTTCCTACAGGGTAAAAAGGGAAGCCACAGACTGGGAAAAAGTGTTTGGTAATGACATGTCAGATAAGGAACTTATATCTAGAATTTCTAAAATATTTGAGCACCACAAGACCGAAAAATGGGCACAGGATATGAACAGACACTTCACCAAAGAAAACACTCAGATGGCCAACAAGTACATGAAGAAATGTTCAAAACCTAAGAGAAAAGCTCTAAGAGAAATGTAAATTCAAACAACTATGAGATATCATCGCACCCCAGTAAGACGAGCAAAATTTAACAGAACAGCAAGCAACAAATGCTGGCGAGGTTGTGGAGAAACTGGAACCCTTATTCACTGTTGGTGGGAGTGTAAAATGGTGCAACCATTGTGGAAAGGGTTGTGGTGCTTTCTCAAAAAGTTGCAAATAGAGATATCATTTGATCAAGCAATTCCACTACTGGGAATATACCCCAAAGAGACCATAACTGACATCCAAGCAGATATATGCACACCCATGTTTATCGTGGCTTTGTTCACAATAGCAAGGAGTTGGAAACAACCTAAGTGCCCATCAACAAATGAGTGGATAGAGCCGCTCTGGTATACTCACACAATGGAACACTATGCTGCATTGAAAAACAAGGAACGCATGCAATATTATTAAAAATGAGTGACCCTGGAGGACATTATGCTGAGTGGAATATCTCAGTCACAAAAGGACAAATACTGTATGGTACCACTGCTGTAGAATGAGGCTGACATCAAGGTTGGGGGTTAGACTGAGAAAAGCTGGATAAATTATGTATACTGCATTGAAGTCAATGAGGGAGAGAACAGTTTAAAAGTAATATATTTTAGGGCATTGTGATTATCATAAGAGGTTGGAATGAGGGTTGCAGAGTGGGGTATACTCAGGGTGGAGGTGGGGGGGTGCAGAGGGATTTTATACCAATGAAGGAGTTTTTTCTTTTGCTTTTCAAGGATAAGCATGAACTGGGGTGGGGGTGGGGTGGGTGGGGAGAAAAGTACAACAATGAATGAATGAATGGAAATCCAAAATCTCTGTAAATGTTCACTGAAATTAATTAAAAAAAATCAAAAAAGGAACTAAAAAAACATGCTGAAATAGAAATCTAAGAAAAATATAGCTTTATAGGAGAACTAGAGATATTGCTGTTTGTTGTTGTTTAAGTCAGAATTGACCCATAAATGACCCTCCAGTGGGTTTTCAGAGGCAGTATATCATATGGGAGGATTGCATAACCACAAGCAGGTTTGATTGGTGTGCCTTTGGGATTACAGTGCAGCTTCTTACCACTAGGTCACCTTGAAAGACTCTGGAAAAGAAAGGCTCAACTAGAGCAATATACCATGCTTAAATGAGGAATATTTAGCAATATTCAGACTCCCTTCCGACATAAACTTTGGTACTTTCTTCTTCCATCTTCTTAATGACTTTTTGCATTATCCATGAATGACATTCTTGATATCTTCCCATAGTGCATCTGGTCTTCATTCATTAGTGTTCAAGGCCTCACACCTATGACCTCTCCAGAGTACTAAAAAGCAACGATGTCAGTCTAGAGAGTAAGGTGGGCTTAATCCAGGCCCTGATCTTCACAATTACTTGTTATGCTTCAGAGAGTTGAATGACAGAAGAATTGATGCCTTCAAGTTGTGGTGCTGGAGAAGAGTCTTGAACATATCATAGAATGCCAAGAAAACAAATAGGTCTCTTTTGGAGAGGGTGAAACCTTTCCTTGGGGGCTAGAATTTTGAAGCTCTGTCTCACATACTTTGGGCATGTGGCCAGGAGGGACTGGTCCATGGACAAGGACATCATACTTGTAAGGGTGGAGGGACAACGCAGGAGAGGAAGATCCCAGATGAGATGGATTGATTCAGTGACTGGAGCAATGCGGGTCGGTGTGCCGGAACTTGAGAGACTGGCTCAGGACATGGCACGCTTCAGAGCTGCTGAACATAGGGTTGCTATGGGTCGGAGGCAAGCCAACGGCATATAACAACAACATTATGAGGAAGAGAATCTGTATTGGAAAGATGTCAATATCCTTTCTAGTAGTTATGAATTTAGGTTTTTTCCAGTAGTTGCCAAGACAACCAATCCTACTTAGACTTGTGTTTCTTATGCCTCAAGTCAACTTCAGCAAAACTAAAGAAGGGACAAAGAAAGTACAACTGCAGGAACAACAGCAAATCAACAGAAATTAGAAACTTGGTGGCACCGAGAGAAGAATCAGGCATAGATGTCAAGCTGTTACCTTCCTTCTTGACAGTTACAGGGTCTTGGGAAGGAGAAAACCTAAAGTCAGCTTAAGGATAGGTTCAAGTCTTGCCAGAAATTAGTGTAAAGGTCCTATGATGAATACTGAGGGGTTTGAACTCCCAGAAGAGAGAGATCTCACACAACCCTTCTATCCCCTCAACTCAAGTGACACTCTGTTTTGGGCTCCCCTGGCTGGAGTAGCCAGATAAAATGTACTCACTTTAGTCTGAGGTCAGTGGCCAGAGGTCATTAGAGGAGAGGTGGTCTGGCACCTAACTGTCTAGGGCACTAAAATGAAAACTAAACCTTTCCTCTACCCTAAAATCAAGGGGTCCATATCAGGATCCCACACTTCAGAGCCTAGCCCCTTAGCATCTCTCTCCCCAGAGCCCCGCCCCTCAGTCTCATTCCTCAAAGCGCAGCCCCTCAAAGCTTCCCTCCGCAGAGCCTCCCTCCCCAGAGTCCAGTCCCCTAGAGCCAACCCTCTCAGTTCAAAGACACTGGAGCCTTCCTCCTTAGAGCCCTTCCCCTCTGACCCTCCTTCCCCAGAGCCCTACTCCTCAGGGGTTCCGTGGCCAGGGCGCCACCACCCAGCTCCTACTCAGAGCCTCATGCCCTGGAACCCCGCACCTCAGAGCCTGCCCCTGCTGTCAGTTTTAGGAAACCCAAGCAACGGTTGCCGGGATCAGATTCCTTACTTTGGACTAGGGGTGTCCAGGAAATAAGGACATTGTTCTGAAGCTAACTGAGTCAGCTTAGAGATAAAAATGTCCCAGCCTTGCCAGAACCCAATAAAAGGTCCTCAAGTGACTAGCAGAACTCCCTTATAAGCCCCACCTCCTGAGAACAGAAGGCATCTCACCCCCCCTACTGGCAGTAATGGTATGGTCCAAGTGGGCGTGGCTACAAGAGCTAAGCTATATCCCCCCTCAGACCCTAAGGTGCGGAAGCCATTTTTCTGGAAGCTGATTTTGTCGAGGACGAGGACGTGCCAAGGTGACGGTCCTGTTATAATTTTTTTAGCTATTCCCACAGAATCCAAACCTGCCACTGCTCTAAGCCTGTAAGATCCCAAGTATAACTTTTTGTTTTCTTTTTATTCTTATTTTATTTTTTTTTCAAATAATTTTAACTTTTAGGCCAATTGCGCGTGACTTCTGCCGCGGGTTCCAGAGACTGAAGCCCTTGGTTTGAGGCTGAGTCACAGGCCAGTAAGTAGAAAAATTCTTTGTGTGGAGTCAAAGGGGCCAAAGTGGCGTAGTGTTCTATATGTTCCATTGGTGCTGTAGATGTGGCCAATTCGAAAGCAACTGCCACTCCTCAGGAGAAAGACGAGGCTGTCTCTTCCAATAAAGATGTGTAGCCTCAGTAACTCAGTGGAGGGGTGCTCTGCATAGGAATCTGCTTCAGTGGGTTTGTGTGTGGGTTGTGTGGTTTTTGGAGTGGCGTCAAGGTGCTGAGAAGCCCCCATATCCTATAACAAAGCCTTCCCCTGAGATCTGAGGTGGAGGCTTTGGTCTAACGGTCCTTCAGTCAGCAGAGGGAGGAGTTCCAGATCATTACAAGAGTCAAAGTGAGGCTCTTAAGAGATGCAGAGGTTTTCCAGACTATAAACAGGGCACTTACAAATCCTTGAGCTGTTGCAAGGCCAGGATAGGTATCAGGAGAAGTACCTTATTTCATCTTTGGGGACCAGAGAAAATGAGGGATTTGGGTTGAGAGAATGGTCACATGTCATCAGAAGGGCAAAACTTAGTCCCCCCTTAGAGTTACATTAAGGGCTTAAGTGAAGACGATCAAGCCCTCCACTTCAGGAAAGGACCTCCACCTGTTCTGCCACTAGATGACGCCTGCCAGGGTGGTGGGCTGATGGTAGGTCCCCTTCACTTCCTTCTTATGGCTTCCAGGGAGGTTTAAGGTGTTTACATTAGAGTGGCAAAGGAAAGGGGACCTGGATCCTACCAAAAATTGACATGAAACTACTGGATGTGAGCTGAGAGTCCTCTACAGTAAAACAGAAGACACCCCAGTGGCATCACCTGATGCCAGACCCAGTAAGCCATGAGTATATCTGTTAAGCACTGACCTAACTTTGGTTTTCTTTGCAGGGTGGTCAAGGTGTCACCATGCCTCGTGGTCAGAAACGTAAGCTCGATGTATGTGAGGAGTGCCAGCAGCTCCTAGATGAAATGCAGAATACCAGAGTTGCTCAAGCCCCTGCAGAAGAAGAGGATACATTCTCCTCATACTCTTCTGGCATAGGGGTTACTCCTGAGAGCTCCCCTGGTTCTAGCATGATGTTTGGGAGCTTCTCACCTACTCCCCCACCTGCTGCAGAGGGTTTTGACAACAGGTCTGATGAAGGTGACCAGAGTGAAGACGATGATGAAAGTCCTAGCCTGACCCCACCAACTATGGTCAATGTGGGCAGAGATCCAGTATCCAGAAGGGCGAGAAGGTTGGTGCGGTTCTTGATTGAGAAGTATAAGAAGAATGAGCCCATTATGAAGGCTGATATGCTGAAAGCTATCAATATGAAGTACAAGGAGCACTTCACTGAGATCCTCAAGAAAGCCTCCAAGCGCATGGAGCTGGTTTTTGGCCTTGAGCTGAAGAAAGCTTCCCCCAGTAGTAAGTCCTACAACCTCATCAGCAAGATCGATCTCACCAGAGGAGAAAGCCTGCATAGCCCAGAAGGTTTCCCCAGGATAGGCCTCCTGATGACCCTTCTAGGACTGATCTTCTTGAAGGGCAACCGAGTTCATGAAGAGGAGCTATGGGAATGCATGAAAATGTTGGGGCTCTATCCTGGGAAAAGGCACATTCTCTTTGGAGAACCTTGGAAGTTCATCACTGAAGATTTTGTTGAAGAAGGGTACCTCAAATATCAGCAGATTCCAAATACCGATCCTCCATGCTATGAATTCCTGTGGGGGCCACAATCCCGTGCTAAAATCAGCAAGATGGAAGTCCTGAAGTTTTTAGCCAAGATCAACAATACAACTCTCAATAGTTTTCCTGGGCTCTATCAAGAGGCCTTGTGTGAAGAGCTGGAGAAAGCTGGAGCCTGTGTTTTGGCCATGCATTTCTATTTTTTTCCTAGAGCCAACTATTGAAGTGTGAGCACATTCTTTGTTTTGTAGTTGAAAGGTAGACCTAAGTAGTAGGAGCTAAGTTAGAAGTAAGAAAATGTATTATCATCATTGTATTCCTGTTGTATCAGCATAAAAAAAAAAAAAACCAAAAAAAAAAACCTTTTAAATCCGTTTATTCTGTTTCAAAATAAAAGTTTATGGATGGCATGAACACATTTTTGTTGTTTATCACATTTCAGAGTTAGAGTTGTAGTATAATGGAAGGATTAATAAAAGCAAGAATTACAAGTAAGATGTCAGAAAGCTGGAGTTACATGGTAGGTATTATAATGAATGTTAAGATAAATGTATATGAATAAAAAACCCCCAATTTATTTTTTAAACTTTCACCTTCAGTATTTTCTGGAACTAGGTAACATTGTATGAGAATAGGGATTTTTAAAAAAAAAATTTATTAATTTAATGAACAACAGAGATTTTGGATTTCCATTCATTCAGTGTTGCACTTTTTTTCTCTACCCCACCCCCACCCCAGTTTGTTCCTTTCTTTGAAAAGCAAAAGATAAACTTCTTCATTAGTATACCATCCCCCCGCCTTGAATGCACTCCACTATGCAACTTTAATTCTGGATTCCTGTGATAATGATAATACCCTATATCGCTTTTAAACTGTTCTCTCGTTCATCTGTTTCAATTCAGTATACATGCAGATATAACACTATAGTATGATGGAATCACAAAATAGAAACTTAAAAACGAAAAGGTTTGGCTTATCCTTTTAAATCTTTATCAAATTAAAAGATTATATCTATCTTTGATTTGGGTTCGGTTAGTTTATTTAGGAATTTTGAAATAGTTATATTCCCTGAGTTCTGATTAATCACATGATTACTACCATTCATTGAACCCAAGCACTTGCTATTGCACTTCATCCCTTTCCAAAGTTGGACAAATAGGGTCTATTAATGTCACTTTGCAGGTAAAGAACTTGACCATTTCTTGAGTTTACAAGGCTGGTAAGTGATAGAATTGGACCAGAGCCTTGGTCTGAGTCTGGCACCCATATTCTCTCACCCAGAGGCTGACCTTATGTCTCTTCCTTTTCATTCTTACCACCCCAAAATGTCTCTCTGGATAAAGAAGGACTTTGTGCCCAATTCCTGGACTGGAAAATATTGCCAGAGAAATAATACTAACATAAAATAAAGGAGTACATAAGGGATAATCTTTTGCTGTATTATCATCTAGATAGGCAGTGTCACATCAAGGGCTCACTAAATCATGCTAGACTACCCCTTACTGGAAAGAAGGAAATCTTTTAGAGCAAAAAATAAGTCTTCCGGGTGGTTAGAGGACAAACAGTTCAGCATGTGTGTCTTTGATAGACCACCTGTCCTGAGCTTCCTACCAGTGCTGCAGCATTCTGTCTCACATCACTTCTGAGACAGTGATACATTTCCTGCAAAATGTGCAGTAGGGATATGACTCAAAATGTTACAGGTATATGACATACATAAGAAGCTGCTTGTTGGGAGTCATTGAGGACCCCCAGTGAATGAAATCTAAAGAACACCAACAATATAGGAGGTTACATAGAAACCAATCTTGCCTACACTCACACCTGTAAAGCCTGAGGCACTGGTATCAGGCTGAGCAGAACACCTAAAATTCACTGTTATCTAGTTGGAACCAACTCCTTAGCTGACCATTGAATGTCCTAACCTGTAAATTAAAGGACACTACTATGAGTCGCAGGCGACTCGACGGCACATAACAACAACAACAACACCCACCTTTTTCCCTCAGAGAAGCTGGTGAGTTTGAGCTACCAGTAAGGTATAGATTTGAGTTAGCACAATTATCTCTGGACTGTGCCACCAGAGCTCCTTATCAGGCTGAGCATCCCCTCATTTAGTCTACTAGAGTCTTTGGGACCTAAAACCACTGGTCTAAGTGGACATCCTTGGGTCAGGGGAAAGTTGCAATGCCTACTGGGAATCAAAGCAAGAATGCTGAATACTATGGGGAATTCTTCCTGGAACATTAGTCACACAGAGTTCTGTACCTACCGTCAGATCTGGGAGAACTCAAGCAGAGGAAGTCAGATGTGGCATCCCTTTACTCTTCCCCTACAGACAACTCAGGGAGATTAGGACCTTGTTCTCAAGGTGGAGGACTCAGATCAGCAGTGGGAAGGGACTCAGCCTCTGATAGATTACCAAAGTGAAAATTCTAAATGACAACTGAGGACATCTCCAACTCTAGAACAGTGTAGTTCCATAAACACACAAATCTGTGACAGCTCTCAGGAGACCCAAACACTTGTGGCTGTTGTTGTTATTATGTGCTGTAGGGGCACCTGCAACTCATAGCAACTCTATGTACAACAACTCTGAACCCTAATCTATCTTGACTCAGCTTCATTGTCTCTGACATACCTACCCCCATTACCCCAGTCACTGAGTTTATCCACATCATCCAGGGTCTTTCTCTCTTGTGCTGTTCCTCCAAGCTTCCAAGCAAGGTGTCCCTTTTCAAGGACTGGTCCCTCCTTGGAACATACCCAAAGTATGTCAGACAGAGCTTCAAAATCCTTGCCTCCAAAGAACAGCCTGGTTTCACCCTCTCCAGGATGAACCTGTTTGTTCTATTAGCAGTCCATAGTATATTCAATACTCTTCTCCAGCATCACAATTCAAAGTTGTTGATTTTCTCCTATCATCTTTAGTCATTTTCCAGCTCTAAGGAAATGCAAAGACCAGAGCCTGGATCAGGCAGGCACACCTTAGTCTCTAGAATTGATGGTATATCAATTGATATATTTCAACAAACAGATGCTATCCTGGACATGCTCACCAGGTTGTGCCAAGAAATTTGGAGGACAACCACCTGGCCAATTGACTAGAGGAGATGCATATTTGTTCCTATTCCAAAAAAACGTTACCTGACAGAGTGTGGAAATTATTGAACAATATCATTAATATCACATGTAAGCAAGATCCTACTGAAAATTCTCCAAAAACTACTGGAACAGCACATCAAGAGAGAACCTTCTGATGTGCAGGCTTGGTTTAGAAGAGACTGTGGAATTAGGGATATTATAGCTAATGTTTGATGGATGTTGACTGAAAGCACAGAGTACCAGAAGAATGTCTATCTGTGTTTCCCTTTATTATGCAAAGGCATTTGCCTGTGTGGGTCACAACAAACTGTGACTAACTCTGAGAAGAATGGGAATCCCAGACACTTGATCATGATTATGTGAAACATTTACTTGGGCCAGGAGGAAGTTATCAGAACAGAGCAAGGAAACACTGCATGGTTCAAAATCAGTTGAGTGTAGGGATGGCTTATTCTAAATGATGTCTTGAGGGTGCCAGGAAGGTGATAATCTTCCTCTGAAGGGTCTAGTATCATATCAACCAATAGTGAAGGCCTAGAGCTGACTAACTGGCAAATGAGAACTTTAAGTTGGTACAAAGAGGACTATTCTTCCCAGAAAGCAGAGTGCCAGCAAAGAGAGCCACCCTTTTTGTTGGTCCTTGAAGGCCAGATTTATTTTGGGTGGGAATTGTGTCAGGGATGTGAGGGCCTTGATGTGAGGCTGAAGAACTCATATGGATTGAGGGAGGAATTGCAGATTATTCCTAAACAAGAACAAAAGGGGACACTTCTACCCGAAACATGGGGTTCCCTAATCACCAATCCAGAGAAGCTATGAAGAGAGATAGCTTAATATGTTGGGAAGGGAATCAATGAGAATTTCAAGGTTATGCTAGTTAATGTAAAGACCCTAAGAACTATAGGAATCATCCATCCAGTTTCCAAGGGATCCCATATTGTAACCAATATATCCCATATTGGCAGCCACGAGAGACTAAACATCTTTATTAACCACAGGCACCCTTCAATTTCTAGTCACAGAGTAGTTCCAGCTCAGTAAAGTGAAGAAGTTTGCTGCTGTTGTTGTTGTGTGCCAATGAGGTGGTTTAATTCATATCAATGCATGCACAACAGAATGAAACCCTGACTAATTTTGTGCTTTTTCACAATCATGGTTATGCTCTAAGGACAGTGTTACAATCAGTCCATTTTATGGAGAATCTTCTTTTTCCACTGATTCTCCAATTTTCCACTTTTAGATCCATCTTGAAACTGCAATAGTTCAAGCGACTGGATAATATTCATATGTATACAAAAAAGACCTCTTAATACCACGCTCATTCAATTTTATGCACCAACAACCAGAGCCAAAGAGGAGGAAAAAGATGATTTCTACAAATTTTACAGTCAGAAATAAAAAAACAAAACAAATCCAAAACCAAACAAACAAAAGAAATCAATAGAACATGCAATCAAGGCACATTAATAATAATAGGTAACACAACCCTGTTTGCAGAAACTGAGGAGGACCTGAAGCACTTGCTGCAACCTTCAGTATGGATTGAGGCTCAATGTCAAAAAGACAAAAATTCTCACCACTGGACCAACTGGCAGCATCAGGATGGATGCTGAAGAGATTGAGATTGTTCAAGGTTTTAGTTCCACAGTCAACACTCTTGGCATCAGCATTCAGGAAATTAAAAGACGTATTGTGATGGGTAATTTGGCTGTTAGGGACCTTTCCGAGGTGCAGAAGAGCAATGGTGTCACTCTGGAGACTAAGGTGCACCTTATATAGGCAGTGGTCTTTGCAATCAGTTGTTATGTGTCAGAGAGCTGGACAATGACTAGGCAGGATAGAAGGAGAATTGAGGCCTTTGAGCTGTGGTGCTGGAGAAGACTACTGAATGTACCATGGACTGCTAAGTAAACAAACAGGTTCATCTTGGAGAGGGTTAAACCAGGCTGTTCCTTGGAGGCAAGGATTCTGAGGCTTCATCTGATATACTTCGGACATGCTGCAAGGAGAGACAGGTCCTTGGAGAGGGACATCATGCTTGGGAGGGTGGAGGGACAGCGCAGGAGGGAAAGACCCTCTATGAGGTAGACTGATTCAGTGACTGGGGTAATCAGGGTGG